ACAGTCGTTATGAGCGAAGTTGACTGTATGCACTAGCGCACGCAACGTTCTGTACGTACTGAGGGCGCCGGCCGTGGCCACTGGACCGGATTGCCATGTCCACGACAGTACGTCTCAGGATTTCAGTTACCACAGTCCCCGAGATTTTCGCCGTTGCCAGGACCTTACCCGCCACTCGAAGTTGAGTTACTGAATCACTCCTGGTCCTTTCAGGACCTGCCATCACCTGCGGATGGACACTATTGTACTGCATCCTATGTGGGTGTGTGCTTGCGTGAGTGTGTATGCATGTGTGTGCTTGCGTGTGTGTGGGTGTGTCTGCTTGCTTGTGCTTGTGTGTGTGTGTGCGCGCGCGCGCAAGCGCCCTCGTGTATGTGTGTGCATACATACCCGCACGCACGTTCATGTGCGTAGTGCCTATACTCGGCATTTTTTTCGATCGTGTTTCATTTCCGACTCAGACAGGATTATGTCGAAAATTGTAAGAAAATATACGGTGTAAAAGATTCCGAATTCAAATTTACACCATCGAGATCTACGTTCAGGAACAGCGAGATTTACAGACTTCAAGGAGTGGGTCTTTCTGACATCAGGACACATTCACGAATTGTTTAATTTTTGTTTGATGTGCACGTCTCCAAGAGTGACCCAGTGGTTACTGGCCAGACACAATTTCAATTATTTATTTCCCTCTCAGTTATTTGTTCGCCGGTGCTCTTACCCTAGGCGGCCCGATAACAACTTGCACGTCATCCTCCGCGTAAAGGGTGTCGTGTACGCGGACCTGCGCGTCCCGCAGGCCTACTTCCAGCTCCAGGGCAGCACTACCCTTCTCGCTGGCTGACTGAAACACATTGAACGTCACGACACAGAACAGGGCGAACCCTACGATCGCGGCGAAGATGGCGTACTTGCCAAGCCTTGCGCGACGCATCGGGAGCAGATTTTAAGAGCTGGATTCTAAGGTCCAGCCAATGATATTCGTCGTCTTCAAAACACAATTACATGTACTCCAGAACAGTCCTGCGCTGCAACGACAGGTGCGGCACTCTGCGTAGTGTCACCAGCAATTCTCGTTCATTCTGCACGACTCCACAGCATCATTTTCTTTTGGGCTAGGGAAGCAGCTAGCTGGTACCAGGAATCCTTATGATATCTCACAGGCCCCCTGCTAGCTCCCTGCAAGGACATGTGCAGTCCACAATCAAATTTTCTTTGGTCCTGCAAGCAAAGCAACACATGAACAGTTGTTGTCATGTCATAATGGAGTGTTGCGTTGAGTACAAAAAAAGTGCTCGTCGCGCGTCGTGACGTCGTATTGTTCGTATACAGAAAAAAACAATAAAAATTGATCACAAAAAAGTCGCAGTGGTCTGGTGACGTCATACCAGGGAGTCGTAAAAATACCGGTATTTTACGACGACTCCTGTCATGTACACTACGACTAGTACGAGTCTCGTACCGCGCGATACCGTCTTGTAGTTGTATATCCATGAGTCATGACATCAGGACCGTTTCACGCAACCACACAACCTCACGCTGCACGTCATTTCGGGAATTATTTCACGACCGTTTGACGTCATTTCGGGAATGATTCGACCTTTCGACCTTTGACCTTCCCTAATATGTTGCTTCATGCTGTAAGCATTTATTTAGGCTGCAGCCTGCAGCGCAGCGCTCCCCGCGGCCCCACGGCCACAACTCGGTCGACATCCTATAAATATAATTATTTATTCCTATCCTATCGATCTATCACCCACGCACAGTAAACAATTTTTACATGCACCCAGTGAGTTGGAATTCGTTGACAACTTTGCTTTTCCCCACGAAATGATTGTCATTCCTTGGTCCCCAAGGCTGCTTTCTGATTAATCAGCCTCTTCATGGCCAGCTGTCCACCTCCCAGCTAACCTGCTACAAGTTGTAGTGTCCCATGCTTCCGTTGCGGGATCCACAAAGCTAGTCCGTCGCTTTGGGAAAGCAAGCGCTTTCCCATCAACTCCGCGACCCGGGCAGCACACCTCTGGAAGGTGTTTTGTTACGCTGGATATTAAGTTGCAGAAGCGACCAGGTAACTAATGATGCTACTGTGTGAGGAATACGAGTGTGTACGTGTTTGCTGTGCTCGATTGTCCCCCGTGTCGACGAGCATCACAAGTAACACGCACACCCATGACCGGTTGAGTTTCGGCTCTAGCTTCCTGTATTTGGGGGCTTTTTTCTAATGCCGTATTATCTCCTTGGCTTATCATTATGATTATTTCAACCAATTCTGACCCTGGGCTTATATTGGAGACTGGGGGCGCGTTTGGTTGGTACGAACTAGAACAGGATTCACCAGAACAGCGCGTTTGGTTGGGACTGCACCTGTTCTGGGTCGGCCAGAACATGTTCTGCTTGCTCCGGCCTCGAGGCCGGAGCAGACCGAGCAGTTTCACTTTTTCACAGTGAAACCTGGCGGGAACATCGATTTTGGTCCCAAATGATCACGTGCATACGCTTTTGGGTTGGACTCGTCGTACCGTACACAGTGACCATGGTGACCCATACACATTTTGAAGAATGCACCAAGTTTGGCGTATTTTTCACAAAAATATGCTCTGTTTTTGGAGTACCGTTTGGTTGGCATGAGGCTGCTCCATGTGCACCAGCTGTTCGATCCTGTTCTAGATCGTACCAACCAAACGCACCCTGGGCTTCTACTGGAGACTGGGCTTATAATTTTTCAACCATCTGGTGGAAGTATTTATTCTTACACTTTGAAGTACCAGTATCACAAAATTCCCACCAGGTCCCGTGAAAGCAGTGTTACAAAGTTCCTGGTACACTAGTCTGTACATTTTTTATCTCGGGGATCACAGACTTGCGCCATAACATGTGTATATGTGACACTGCGAACATAAAACATGCATAGACATGATCTATACCGTTCTCCACTATAAGCCCTGCGCTTATATTGGAGACTGCGCTTGTATAATATTATCTTCGAAGCCGTCTCGGTGTGTGCTTATAATAGAGACTGGGCTTCTACAAGAGACTACGCTTGTAATGGAGTTAATACAGTCTTCCTGCCCCACTGAGCAGAACCATACCCACGCCACCGGTCCCTCAAGGAGAGCTAAGATTAGCGGCTCAGGAAATTAAAAACCAGTACGTTGGGTACACAGCCGTGTCAGACTTACCCTAGATAGGGCACTCATGGCGCGCTTTGTCTGCGTAGACGCCGAGACCTTTGAGGTCGGCAGAGCAGCCTGGTCCCGCCACCACTTCTCGCACATATTCGGGAATATAGTGGACTTTCGTATAAAAACAAAAAATTAAAGGGGAAGTTAAGGCAAAAATTAAAATTTCACCAGTTGTAGTCTTCGGGGTGCTAAGTCGAATGGTCTTGGTCCGAGGAAGCTGAGACGCTCCCTTCCTACTTGAATCCCAATCGAACTCGCGCACTTCCACCGAAACTGGGTGACTGCGCCCTACTAGATGGGGATTTGTATGCAAAATGTCACTAAAAGCGCCATTTCGTTCTTATAAAAGCACGGATGACCGCGATTGGCCCATATGTTGTAGTCTTTTGGACGCTGAGTCGACTGGTTTTGGTCCGAAAAGGCTGCGATGCAGCGTTCCTCCTTTATTCCCAATCGAACATGGTTGAAGAAGCGGTCACGTGCTCCTGCGTACACCAGTCACCTGGTCACCGTGCCTGCAGGGTACAACTTACTAGCCTGTTTGACCTTTTTTGGGTGCAGTCCTGTCACTTGAGTTGAACTCGAGTTGAACCTTGGTGTGAAAGTTGTCACCTGCTGGCGTGGTGACCAGGTGATTTGGGCACCCAGGACCACGTGACCGCTTGTTCAACCATGTTCGATTGGGAATAAAGGAGGAACGCTGCATCGCAGCCTTTTCGGACCAAAACCAGTCGACTCAGCGTCCAAAAGACTACAACATATGGGCCAATCGCGGTCATCCGTGCTTTTATAAGAACGAAATGGCGCTTTTAGTGACATTTTTGCATACAAATCCCCATCTAGTAGGGCGCAGTCACCCAGTTTCGGTGGAAGTGCGCGAGTTCGATTGGGATTCAAGTAGGAAGGGAGCGTCTCAGCTTTCTCGGACCAAGACCATTCGACTCAGCACCCCGAAGACTACAACTGGTGAAATTTTAATTTTTGCCTTAACTTCCCCTTTAACCTGATGATAAGAAATCGTAGCATAGTGAAGTTCAATTCAGGTATGTGAGCCATTCGCCATGCAGTCTTGTGCAGCACGGTGTCCAAATTGATCAAACTGGCAAAGGTGTTGGTGGTATCATCGCCGCACGAAGCCGTAGCCAGTTCTCGACCAAAATGCAGCTATTTTTTGTGCTCATGGGGTCCCTGCATGAAGTGTCAACAGTGGAGCGGACTCAGCTTTTCGGTCACTTTCCCCAACTTGCACCGTAGCAAGGCTGAGTTCCTGTCCACGGCGGTTTCATACGACGCCGTCAATCGGCGTTATCAGCGCCCTGTCGGTTCCCGCTCCTCATGGTGTTAGGTTACGCCCTTCGAAGTTGAACTCGGCTTATTTCTGAATGTGGTTGTCTTCGTGGTGTGTGTGTGTGTGTGTGTGTGTGTGTGTTTGTGTGTGTGTGTGTGTGTGTGTGTGTTTTAGAGAGGGAGAGAGAGAGAGAGAGAGAGAGTATGTGCATGTGTGTGTGTGTGTGCGCGTGTGCGCACGCAGGCGTATGTGTGTACAGGGGAGAGAAAGGCATCCCACTTTAATCCTTTCATGGCCACTACTGATTTCACGTATTCCCGCCAGGGCACACGCAATGCGTGTGCCCTGGCAATGCTCCTTGCAGCAGCGATTTACGCCATTTGTACGGGGTGTCAGCGCATCACACATACTTTCTTTTCTCTAGTTTGTAGAAGATCAAATCCACCACAGGTTCAGGACACATCTGACAATAGAGAGGTTCCGCATAACGTAATTACGTTAGTATAAAACGTAGTCGATCTACGGAAAGTGTTACGTAAACTGCATGCGGATCTGTGTTCCACGCTATACGGAGTTTCAAATCACGTAGCTGCCCTTGGCAACTCCGAACGCGACAGTGTACGGCGGGATCTGGGGCCTCATTACCCCCCCCCCCCCCGTCCCATTTCGATGCTTAGTTGCAACCCTGACGCCGAGACCTAGGTTGAGTAGCTCCCAAGGCACGTCGCCCCTACATCCCCTGTGTATTGTTCTTTCATTTTTTTTACGTTCTCCACATGTTTTCCAGTACAGTCAACTTTGCGTATAACAACACTCGGCTGGGCATCAGAAAAGTGTCCTTATTTACGAAGTGTCCTTATACCCGAAGTCTATATGTATTACAGTTAGATGGTACTTTGCTTTGGGCATGGTCATTCTGTCGTTATTGGCGAATTGTCGTTATATCCTCAGTCGTTATTAGCGTAGTTGACTGTAGTTAAGACTAATAAAAAAAGCCCTGATGTGCTGTAAATAGAAAAGTAGCTATAAGTTACTAGCTATGACTAACAGTCCACCAAGGTAATGAGATAATATACAGTCAGATTGTGCGACAACAAGGCACAACGCTGACAAAGGATATTGAGATATTCGATGACCTGACACCTAGTTCCAACACATCTACGAAGCGCAAACCAACAACCTTTCAACCTGGAAGGCTCAGGTGCGGAAAGTTCCAATGCTCCCAGCATGTGTCGTTCAAACTGTGTTGTATAATAACTATAGATTATGCCGGTACTATTGTCAAAGTCCGTAAATAAGTATATTCTTAGGGACTGTCAGCATACTGGCCAACCCTCCCGTTTTTCCCGGGAAAATCCCGGAAAATCAACACTCCTCCTGGGGTCCCGGGGATTTCAAGCAAACTCCCGGAAAAAACAAAGTCTTGTCCGATACATGATTTTCCTGAAAACTCCATGGTTTCTCCCCGAAGGTCCCGGTTTTTTGAACTTTTTTCAAAGGTATGTACGGTGCTCATTCGCACTTCGAACTGTGCACAGCACTTTGAAGACCTGACCATGCCTAGCCTGCAAGGTCTGCACTGACAAAGTGACAGGCGGGTGCAGACTGATCAAACTGCACTACAGGGTCGATCTGTGCTGTACGCACAGCTGCAGAGTCGAACGTTTTTTTGGTGGGAAAAGCTCTTTTTCACTTGTTTTTGTGCCATCCAGGGATTTTGAGAGAAATCCAGGGATTCTGCATGTCTTGTCAAGGGATTGAGATTGTGGTGGTTGGTCAGTATGTGTCAGGCATTATCTATTATTTTCCCGGAACGAAAAAGTTTAGTTATGCCCTCCCCCTCCCCAAACGCAAGTACCGTAAAATCCCACCAGCACGTCCCGTCTCTCCCATCCGCCCCTCCCTGACTGCTTGTCAGGGAAGTGATTGATTGTGTCCTCGTATGACTCCGTGATGCCGTACTGCACTGCAGACGCGTGCTCGACCCCGTTGGAAATGTACACAACAGTGCCCACCCTCTTGACCACGGATTGCAGTTTTGACGGGTCGATACGACTCCTGGCTGTTGACCTTTGGTCGGTGTACGAGATGCACAAACAGTTTTCGTAGGGTGAGTACTTTTCATGTAGTACTGAATGCGGCAAGTAGGACTCGCCCATCCGCCCCTCCCCACCTGAACCTACTCAAACTCAAAGCGTCGAGGAGGCAGGGGTGCTCTGGCGGGATTTTACGGCATTATTGACTTGACAGCTAGAATGGACTTACCGTATTTTCCGGGGTATAAGCCGCACCGGGGTATAAGCCGCACCCCCTTTTTGAGGCAAAATATTGACTAAAAGTTGGTATTCGGAGTATAAGCCGCACCCACAAACCAAGATTTTTCACACTCATTGACAAATGGCCTTTCTACAAATTTATTATGGTTATGGAGCTAAATACCATGTAGCTAGCTAAATACCAGTACGCAAAATAGAGTTCCCGTATACGCGTACCGTATGGTGTAGCCCGCGCACTAAAACTAGTAAAAGTGCCGGGATAGCAACACAGGCGCGAAGCTGAGTTGAATGACATGTCACATGACGTCAGCATGCATACTGATGTATGCTAAGCATTCATTCGCGCAAGCATATTCGGTGTATAAGCCGCAGGGGCGATTTTGGTCCGATTTTTAGCGAAAAAAAGTGCGGCTTATACCCCGGAAAATACGGTACGTTTCAGCTATAAATATATTTCACAGCGAAACTCTCCCCGGCCCGCCCACCCATCGATAAAAAAAATTGTTTCGTGTGATTACGGACAGCCTATTACTTACGAGATTAATTTTTCTGGGGTAACGACCTCTTTTACGGGCAAGATGAAGTCATGTAGATGTAGATGTGAAAAATAGAGATACAATGAAAAGAAAAGAAAAAATACTAATATTCCAGTACAATACTTCGGAAAACTCCCAGAAATTCCACGCAAAACAGACGAAACCCAGTTCAATTCAGTTCAGTTCTTACTTGAATAATGGTCACACCATCGGGCACGCCCTTGAAATGCAGCTCTGGTGTAGTGTTAACCTTGGTCACGTGGATCCCGTTTAACCTTTATCCTCCCAACGTTCCCATGTGGGGACAAAATTTGAATCGGCCATACAAAACAACACGGCCAATCAAGGCTTGTTCGCTGCTACTTGAAGTTTCATGCTCTCGCAATCACCAGGCAACAGAAGATCGCGAGAGCATGAAACTTGAAGTAGCAGAGAAAAAGCCTTGATTGTCCTTGTTGTTTTGTATTACGCTCTGGCTCTGTGGTGTTAAAAAGCACGGTCAGTACACTGGGTACATCCTCCGGTGAATCGGCCATATGTATCCCAAAAATAACTTTTGTGGGAAAGTTTGAATGAAATTGAAGAATGCTTTCTATGCTGGGTACATTAAATGCTTTCGGGGGGATTGTCACTTTCAGACCTCCCAGCCTGGCACATTCTATTCACAACACAGTAAGATTTAACTCGGATGGTGAGCCAATTCAATTATGGTGAAAAGAGGAGGACAAAAATTTAATGTTACGAGTTATGACTAACTGTCCACCAACGTAACCAGATCTTATGCAGTCAGCGAGTGCCATTTTGTCGCACTCGCTGACTGTATAAGGTCTGGTTACGTTGGTGGCCAGTTAGTCATAACTCGTAACATTTTGTCCTTCTTGTTTTCACCATAATACAGCAAGACCTGCCCTAAACGGACGCCCTTGATGCAGTGGCAGCTGTCCTGGTACGGAGACAGGATTCCCGTCTGGTCCAGGAATGAACGTTCAATCCACAGCTCTTTGGTGCGGGATTCCGGTTTGAGGAGTCCGGTTTTTACAGGATTCCGCATGGTACAGGGCCCGTCAAACACATGTTTTACTGTGTACTGCGAAACGCGTTATTTTCGGTGTGTAACTTTAATTTCGGTGATTTCGGTAGAGAAACCAGGCACCTAAATTTAGATTACACCTAAAAGGCATTTGCGTATGCACTACAAGTGACGGGAATGCTGGTCACCTAATTCTACATTACACTTGAAACCTGGCAGGTCACTGGCGCAGAAATTTTAATACACGTACCAGGGAATTTTCTAGAACCGCCCCAACCGGTTTTCGACCGGTTGAAATTGTTGGCGGCCGGTTGAAAAGTTACAAATCAGTTCCAACCGCCCGTACTTTTCTGTGGGTGAATGGAGCTGTGAATGGTCAAACGCTTTTTTCTGGACGGATACTTCCAGCGAAGCCGCGTGGGCTGGTACTAGGGTCACGAGTTTGTATGGTTTGTACACTCCAGCACCAAGAAATCTGTTAAATAATAATTGCTGTCGAGTGCCATATTTGGGTTGTATTTAAAAAAAAAATTCCCGGGGGCCCCCTGACCCCCCCCCCCCCGACTCTTCATTGGACCGTAACCGGTTGGAAATTCGTCCTAGAATATACCCTGACGTACACCCATAAGTATATGTTTTACTGGGCCCAGGTTGATTCTTGGTTTCCTGCTCTTGACTGGCTATTTTGTTGCACACAGATATGTTGTGTTCCTGGATCCTATGTCTGCACGTCATAAGCATAATGGTCAACAGCACAGACGCGAAAGTCTGCGAACCAAAGGATACTGTACACGTTGGTAAAAATTTATTAATAAATATTACTACTACTACGTACAATTGCTATGGCCCAATTGGCCACACACTGCCGTGGTCCTTCAGTGACTCAACTGTGTCAGTGTAAGTGGACATAGTCTGTACAGTAAGAGCTACGGGGCGCAGAAGTCAGACCCGCGGCCAGCTCCTGAGAGGCGGCATGTTCCCAAGTTGGCTACAGCACCAATATTATTATTTCCTCATGTCCAATTTCAAAATCTTGGGCCAAGGATACATCTCTAGGCAACATATTTGTTCGTTTCGGCTGCACATTCCTCCAGCAACATAATATATTTCAGCTGGGCGCAGTAGACCTCACTGGCCAAGAAGAACAGATCAGGAGGACAGACTCTAGCGAGGAGTATATGAGGATAGCTTATTACTAGAGGGTGCTCAAATTTACGCTCAGCGAGAAGACTCAAAATACAGTCGACTCCACTTATACGAACTCGCATAATATAACGAATTTCGTGATATAGCAAACCCTTGCCCATGTCCCTGTTTGAACACATACAAAATTGACCCTTTGTAATGAAGAGTACCGGTGTTCAGTTATTGCGAACCAAATCTTGTTGGGCCCCATGTAAACCAAGTCCATTCATACAGTCATGGACCACTTGCTAGTCATAGTTTGCTGCTTGTAATGTATGGTGCGAGTGCATTGCTGTTATAACAAACTTCGGCTATAAGGCGAGACCAAAATGAAATCGAGATTCCCCGGCTGGACCCATGTGAAATTGGTGCGGGCGGGCGAATTTTTTATATTTTTTATATTTTTCCTATGTATGTACGCGTGCCATGCTGAACATTTTTTACTGTATTATCCGATAACTTTTTTTATTCATTTTTTTTTACAGAAAACAGGTACTCGGTTTACCCATACAATTTTTCTGTATTTCGGCCAACAATGGCCCTGATCTGTACATCAGGGAGTCGTACAAGCCCAGGTTTGTGTGACTCCACGTCACAGATCTTCTCACAGGATCAGTACTACACATGTATATGAACTGTTAAAAAATGGCTTCGGCTCGATTTTGGTGCGGGACGGCCCGCCCGGGAATCTCTATTTTTTTGGTCTTGCCTAAAGAACTAAGAAATTATTAGTTCTATAAATATATAGCTATGAATAGGATGAAGGCCGCAGACATCACGCAACTACGTTACTTGTTTGACATGTATTTACTGTGTATTTTATAACGAAAATATTATTGAAAATCCATAATCGATTTTCTTGTTCCTATCATCAGTGGGAAAAATACGGAACTAAGGATACAACCAAAGAAACTGAACTTAGGTACTGTAAATAGAAAGGTGTTAGAAATAACAACTAGATACAAGTGCAATAAAACCAATAGAGGAAACACAAAAAGGTAAAAAGATTACGTAACCAAAGACGAGAAGGCACTAAACGAAGTGTCAACCTACGAATACAACTTCAGTGCAACAACGTGCTCCTTCTGCTTACACAAAACAGGCTTATGAATACGTATACAAAATGCCTCAAGGACTTTCAACTGCTGGACATAACGCGCACGACACAGTACAGAAAAATGAGAGTCATCATACACACTAAGACAGTCAGGACGAGATAACAAGTGTAGATACACAGCTGACTTCTTACGATCAACACATTCATCCGCCTCATCTCGCTCCTTCCCACCTGACTCCTCCTCGTCCATCTCATCATCCTCTTCCTCGTTCCGCTCGTCATCCTCCCGATCATCATCACTACCATCATCTGCCTCGTCCTCTGTCTCCTCACCAACCGTTTCGTCATCCAATTGCTCTTCCATCCTCTGATCACCTGTCTCATCCTCCGTTTCTGTACAGACCACTTGTCTCCCATTTGCTAGCTGCTCGTCCCGTGAGCGGAGTTGTTCCTCCAGATCCGCTTCACTCACTGACTCATGATCCTGCTCGACCTTCCTTCTCCTAATGGCTAACTTCCTATCCCTGATTTGTTTGTTTAGTACCGTAAAAGTCCGCTGCAAACGCCCACTTCGCAGCAAACGCCCACCCCAGCGGGTCCATACTATTTTCGTCTTTTTCAGGTCAATATAGTTGTAGAAAGCTGGCATGAAGGTCGAATGCGTACGAAAACGGCTGTAATGCCTACAAACTGCATATGTCTTACCAGGAGGCTCTGCAAAAGCGATTGTCATTGTCTTGCTGGAAAGAAAAACTTCTGTTGAGATTTCCTTTTATTCGATAAATGAGTCGTCTTTGTGGTAGTTCGCTCTCCATGTGGTAATGCCGTAGAACCCATCTGGTTTTCATGAAGTTTATGCAGTGCCACGATGGCGCGCTTTCAGAACGGAACAGTGATTGTTCTGACGAAGCGTCATTCAACAACTTGACTGGGCGCAGTATTGCAGTTGCAAGTCGAACAGAGTATGTCACAGAAGCTACACCTACAAAGTCGCTGCTAATTTGTTGAAAACTCTGAAGTGCTCGAGAAAAACACTTGCCTTTGAGCGTTGTGTGATTTGGAAACGATGGCTTGAAACACCGTCAGAAGTGTGTTTGGTTCCTGCAATACTCTGTTCTTCGCTACCTTGTTACTCGGAAGAAACTCCCATTTGGATTTGCAAAATAAAACAACCATCATCATAAAAATTAATCACTACGAGCTAGCTTGTGGCTAGTGCCCAAAGAGATTTTGAAACCAGGAAAGTGGACATAGTTTACCGTAGCAAAGCGCTCTTCGCTCTACGGTGTGAGATGCACTTTCGTACAGGAGGGGTGACAGTGCATGGGGTCAGTGTGTACAGGCCAGCAGATCTTGCAAGAATGGGGTGGGCGTTTGCAGCGGACTTTACAGGATTACAGTGAAACCTAGTTCAAGCGACCACCCCACGGTGCAAGCAAAAGCTGTCGTTAAAAAGCCAGGTGGTCTTTAGAACCAGGTCCCACAGTGTCTGTGCAGAACTGTCGGTGCATGGAAAAAACGGTTGTTAAGAGCAGGTGGTCGCTAAACCCAGAGGTCGCTTACACCAGGTTTTACTGTATTTAGGACGAAAAATGCACCGAAGTGATACATTTGTGATACTTGGCGAAAGGGAATCTATTTTTTATAGCGATGAACAACATTAATATATAAGCGCACGGTCATATCACAAACATTGGAACCAAAGTAGTTATGTGTCCAGAACGCTCTCTCGTCACAATCATCAATGATGTAACCTTGCTTACAAGAACACTTTATAATGCAAGCTTTCGCTTTAGAAGAACTAGTATCCAAAACTCTATTTTGAATTCTTTATTCTCACGATGGTACCATCGCCAATAAGAGATACGTTTATGAGAAGGTGAGATGCTGTGGGGGTGGGGCTGTGGGTTATGCAGTTGGAAAGTGATTTACATCACTTTGAATTTTACAAGTATGGGAGAGGGTGAGCGCTGCAGGAGCAGATTGAGTTAATCAGCAGTGAGCAGATTTCTTGTTTGAAAGCAGGTCGGGAGGAGACTTCACGAATGCTAGCAGGGAGGGCATTGTAGTATTCTAGGGACTTGTACAGTGGGGTGTCTTTACAGCGATCAGTTCTGGTGGGTGGGAGGTGCCAAGTGCGTACGTGTCGAAGGCTATACTGGGCCGTATCTTGAGCGGGGGTGTTGAGCATGCGTATGTGTTGTGGAGCATATTGGTATTTTATGGAGTGTGCAAGAAGAGTGAGCTTCACTTTGCGGCGAGAGGACATTGTCGGCCATTTGAGCCGACGGAGCAGTGTTGAATGATTCAGAGGAGTGTAGAGGGGGAGACGGAGGCAAATTCTGGCCGCCTTGCGCTGGATTCGCTCAAGACGGTCAAGGGCTGTGATTGAGAGCGGGGTGACAGCAATGCATGCAAATTCAACTATGGGCAGGATACTGTAAAGGCCATTATTCTAACGAAGCGCATATAATTATAACGATTTCCCAAAATCGACTGGTTTACGTGTACCAAAGATAACGATTCTCACTTATTCTCAACGCTCAATAGGACAGTATATGTATCGATCTCTGTACAACGATTTCTATTTTAAGGACAGATTTCTCCTTGCTAACTCGTTAGAGTTAGCACTTCGTTATATATGGCTTTTACAGTATATCTTTTGTAAATGAGAGAGAGAGAGAGTGATTTAGTGTGTAGAGTTGATTTGAGCCTAAAGAGAATATTAAAAGATTTTACGGCTTTCTTCAGCACAAAGTCAAGGTGGGCTGACCATCCTAGGTCTATTGAATCGATCACTGTGTAGCCACTCGGTATAAAAGTATGGAAAGTTGGGAAATTCCCATCTCAAGTAACTAACTCGGATACCGAGCCAATAAATCTAATTTAAAAAATAGAAGAAATTATATGGAAACGAAACATTCTGTGTTGCCGTGGGACTTTAATAGCTTACACACACTTTCGCTGCGCTCACCTTCCCCTCATTGATCTTACCATAACCTTGAACCTTCCAAGCTGGAAGGCTGTTGGTTTGCGCACTGGAGGTGTGTGAGAGCTAGGTCTCAGGTTGTTGAATGTCACAGTAACATGTCAGTTTTGTGCCCTGTTATCGTACTTTCTGACTGCTTATTATCTTGCTACAGTCATGGATAGTTGCTTCATAACTCGTTTCCATGTGATTTCTTCTATTCCAAGTAACTAAAATAGAAGAAATCACTTGGAACGAGGTATGACGCAACTATCCACGACTGTAACAAGATAACAACACAAATCGCTCACTATGCTGGAATGTCGCAGGAGGGGAACTTCTGCGGAAGAGTATCTGCTCCAACAATTTTGGAGTAATGGATTTAAGCTTTCCGCCGCGGCCAAAGTTCCGCTACTCGCTGTTTCCATGGTGATACACGCTCTCGCGACACCGCTGCAGCGGACCCGCAGGTCTCAAGTGCATATGGGACCGGGCCCCGAGGCTGCGGTTACCCTGAGCAAGATTCTGCCATTCCGCCTGTTCCCCCTTGGAATTGTCCGCAGCTTCCATGGAAATCGCGGAACGGCAGCCACCTTCCGCTGGCGAAATTCAGCCAGCAAGTGGCCGGCTAGATTTCACCGAGTCCGCCAGGACCCCATTTCGCTGATTTTCTTCTGGAGTTTTGCATTGTTTGAGGGTGGGAAATTCAGTAGGAATTTCGTTGCCGTCTACTGATATTTGGTTTCGCTCAAAGCCTTGGCTTTGTAAGTATAGCAGGCAAGCAGAGCAGGATGGGGGGAGGGGACTATTTGTTTGAGCTTGATTATTTCCTTCAGCTTTCCGTTCCATCTGATTTCTTTTTTGGGGTTTTCAGTTGCCCAGTATCTTGCCCGTCGTGCCTGCAAGGATTTTAGTCATCTGCCTTTTGCACCATGACCATTTGGACTCCGGAGCCCGAAACAAAACTTGTGGAGCTGTGTCGAAGAGAGAGAGAGAGAGAGAGAGAGAGAGAGAGAGATAGAGAGAGAGATATAGAGAGATAGATAGATAGATAGATAGATGGAGAGAGAGAGAGAGAGAGATGTCCAAACTTGCAAAAGACGAGGCTTTGCATGGCCAACGAAGGAATCGCAAGACTTAGCAACTAGTGTATCTTTCACGCACGAAACCATTCGGCCAGTCAGCGCATGCACTTGGTTTGACCATGCAGGGAGCGTTCAGACCACCACTTTAGTCTGCGATTCAGCTGTACACGCTTTTGCCAGTTTTGGTGTGACCGCGGCCTTAGCCATTCAGTGACAATTCTTGCTTGGTTTCACTCCAAAGTATTTCAATTAGGGCTGAGACGATTATAGCAATTACTCGGTAAGCGATCGATAATTCCTGATTAATCAAGTAATCGTAATACGTTATAGATTACTCGTTAGGGATTTTGAGTCCAAAAAGTACTGAAAACCCTCGTTTTTGTGAAGTTTGAATCAGTTTCCACTGTGAGTATGTAGTTGCCAGAGGCATGGTGCATATTCTGAAGTTAAATTGACTGTATAGCTGCCATGTTTCTGAGCTACCCTGTCACTAATGCAATTTTTTAGTAATATGAAGGCCTAGCTTTTGGAAACAGAGTACTTTTTGCACAAAATTCTGACACTATTTGCTAACGATTATAATTGATTAATCGATCGTTAAGCTAAAGAGTAATCGATAGGTGAAAATCCACGATCGTTGCAGCCCTAATTTCAATACGTCTGTTGTTTGTTTGAATTCTTTATTCTCACGATGGCACCATCGCCAATAAGAGATAAATTGATGAGAAGGTGAGATTGTGGGTTAAACAGTTGGAAAGTGATTTACATCACTTTGAACTTTACAAGTATGGGAGAGGGTGAGCGCTGCAGGAGCAGATTGAGTTAATCAGCAGTGAGCAGATTTCTTGTTTGAAAGCAGGTCGGGAGGAGATGTCACTTGTTTGTTGTTGTTGTTGTTGCTGTTGCTGCTGCTGGCTGTGGTGTTGGAGGCGATGACGATGGTGGTGACTGTGGTGCTGGTGCTGCTGCTGGTGGCGGTGGTGGTGGTGGTGGTGGTGGCGGTGGTGGTGGTGGTGGCGGTGGTGGTGGTGGTGGTGGTGGCGGTGGTGGTGGTGGTGGTGGTGGTGGTGGTGGCGGTGGTGGTGGTGGTGGTGGTGGTGGTGGTGGTGGTGGTGGTGGTGGTGGTGGTGGTGGTGGTGGTGGCGGTGGTGGTGGTGGTGGTGGTGGTGGTGGTGGTGGCGGTGGTGGTGGTGGTGGTGGTGGTGGTGGTGGTGGTGGCGGTGGTGGTGGTGGTGGTGGTGGTGGTGGCGATGGTGGTGGCGGCGGCGGTGGTTGTGTTGGTTGCTGTTGTGTTCTCTCAGGTATTTATCTTATATGGGTTTGGATAGTACTACTTTTCCCATTACTGGGCTTTCACGTCTTGGTTCTTTGCACACTGTGTGAGTATCCGTCCTTGTGAACTTTGGTATTTTTTTGTGTCACCAGTCAATCTTATAATACGTAGGATTGTCCTTCAAGGGGCCGTCCGTAAATATCGAACTTTTTTCACCAAACGAATTATTTTAGTTTAGACCCAACCCCTCCCTCCCTCCCTCCCTCCCCCCTCCCCCTCAGAACGTAAAAATTGTTGAAAATATACATGCATATACAACAAAAGTCGCAAGTGTGTCACTGCTTCTATGGCCATGTACATGTATGGAAGTTTTCTGAAACGAAATTGGTCAACCCCCTCCCACCCCATAACGAAATTATTTCGTTTCGTGAAAAAAGTTCGATAATTATGGACCCTAAAGCGGGATTCACAGAAGCTTTTTTGCGATGCGACACGCGACGCCACAGGCGCGAAACCGGGAAAACCCCAAATCGCAGCCATTTCGCACCCCACGCAACTGCCGCAACTGGGCCATTGCAGGCCATCGCAGAAGTTGAGCTTGGCACAACTTTTGCGATGCGATGCGATGCGACAAGCGATTTGGCGTACGATTTTGACCTTTTCTACAGCAAAGTTGTACAAAGGTTCAAGTTGTATCAAACCGCGCGAATATCATGGTGACGTAGCCAAATCAGCAAGACTTTGTCGCATCACTGACTTCTTCTGTGAATGGTATTTCGCGAGTTCGCATCGCACGCATCCATCGCAGATCGCGTCGCATCGCGTGTCGCATCGCAAAAAAAGCTTCTGTGAATCCCGCTTTAGGCAAAGGCACACAATGAAAACCTTGGACCCTTAAGCCCGATTCACAATACAACTTTCTGCGACGCGACACGCGATTTGCGACAGTTGCGACAAGAAACTGCCTGTCGCGAGCTGTCGCAAGCTGTCGCAATGCACCTGTCGCAGAAGTTGAAGAAAGTTCAACTTTTGCGACATGCGACACGCGACATACACAAATGGAGTACAGTTTCGACCCTGGGTGCACGTGCACTGAACGTGCATAGTACTACTTGTGCATGAGGATGTCGCAAACATGAAGAATATTGTGAACCGTGTGTCGCTGTCGCAGCTCGTCGCATGTGTCGCAAGTCGCATGTCGCGTCGCAGAAAGTTGTATTCTGAATCGGTCTTAAGGCACTGATCTATTTTGGAAATAATGGTACGTATGCATCCATTTCCCGCCATTTGGTTTTCCGGGGCAAGTCCACTACAACCGTACACACCTTGATACCAGCTCTACATAAAAGGTCATGAACTTTGTGAGGTCATGCTCATAAATGTACTATAACGGGTTGTACCTGCCAAGTATGGGGTACCGTAAAAGTCCGTAAATAAGTACCTGCCCGAAAGAAATACCCCTTTCATTCTTTTCACTCTGTCTGTTGAAGTCAAGTCAAGCCCGATAAACATACTGCCCGAAATAAGTACCGGTACGGTGCGCACATGCAGCTCGTAGCATGTACATCAACATGAAAATGACTTCTCCACTACACACAAGTCAGGTCCGAAAGTTAG